GATGTTGGACTTGCGCACTTGTTTTTTATGTTTCGATGATCGTGAATTTGTATGGATATTAATGCTTATGGATGCTTGGATGTGATCTATATGTGAATTCGTGTTATATATGCGTGCATTTGGCTTATATATATAAATGTGTGATCTGTGTACTTTAAAGTGTGATATGTATATGAAAAAACAGGAGAGAAAAGAGAAAAAATTCCCGCTTTTGCCGACCGCCTGGCAATCGTAAAGTAACTTTCACCTACAAAACCAGGTTTGCCGACCGCCTTCTGGCGATCGGCAAAAGCCTTCTCGATCGCCGGGAGAAAAGCGATCGGCAAAAGCCTTTTTCATCGCCGGAGAAAAGCGATTAAGTCTTAATCGCTTTTCTCTGGCGATCGGGAAAGCCTTTTGCCGATCGCTTTTCTCCGGAGGAAAGCCGGAAAGCCTTTTGCCGATCGCCGGGAAGGCGGTCGGCAAAGAGAGGCAGACGGACGGACGGCGACGGAGTCTTCTGAATTGGTTATACTGGCCGTCGGGAAGCCTTTACCGATCGCTGTCGGAAGGCGATCGGAAAAGAATTCTTTCCGACATCTTCTCTCCGGCACCCCTTTGCCGATTGCTTAGCGAAAAGCGGTCGGCAAAGCCTTTTGCCGTTTTTCGACCTTTTGCCTTTTGCTTTTCGGCTTTCGGCAAGAAGAGGCCGATTCCTGTAGTGCCTCTAGCATACAATAGCCTGATACAACTGACTAGCTGAGAGTTGTACCCACACAAACATGAGATTTTCTTTGGAATGCAGCTACGCATATACATACATACTTCATTCACGTAGCTAAAATGATCTTATTTTTGGAATGTAGCTGTCATATATATATATATACCCATTGCCAGTGAATAGGCGGTTAAAATGTGAAACATAATACCACTCTTTCAATGATCCATGCTAAGTTATTGCCAACAGTGAAAAGAAAAAGCAATTTAGAGAAAAGACATGATGAAGACATACACATGTACACACGTAGCCCAGAGGCCATAGTAGCGAGGAAATGAGTGAGACAAAGACGTTTGAATCCAACAGCGCCATGCAACGAGTCAGATAGACACACACTGCAACAGCAGTATGCAAAAAATATCTTTAATCTCGACATACAATTTTATTTTTTTCTACATGTACATGTGTGGCTGTAATTATATATTTGCAAAGCCACATCAGTCGTGTAATAGCTTATTCTACATGGGCACATACATTTCTACGTACCGCCCCAAGTTTACCAAAATTAAGACCAAGACCTCTAAATTTTAATTATATTACAATGAAAAAAAGCAATGAAATGAACCAATCCCCTCCCTGTTAATGAGTCATTCACGAAATGCCGGACACCGCTTCAAGAAGCTGGTTTGAATAGTAGCCGATGCATGCTCCGTTCAAAAATTCACAGCCTCGAAAGGATCATCTGGCGTTGTGGCACGCGCTGTTCCGTTTCTTGAATCCTCTCCATCACCGCGTTCGCTGCCGTTAACACCAGGTCCGCCAAGTCACTGCAGATCGCCATTGCACAAAGATGGAGTCAGTTCAAAGCTAGTAGATGCTTGCATCATTGCATGCGTTCATGTATAATATAATGCACACGATGAGGTCAGAGCTGAGGCTAGCTAGAGCGAGGTGAATGCGTGAATAATGTCAATGTGGCGCGTGCATGGAGAATTGGAGATGGAGTTGCAAATAAGAGGGCACGTACTCTTTGGCGGGGTCGTGGGTGAGGCCGACGGTGTACTTGGCCTCCTTGAGAGCGAACCTGAAGCGGTCGATGTCCCGGGGCATGAATGTTTGGGAGTCGACCACCTCCTGCGGCAGGATGAGCTCCGAGGGCTTGATGCCGTAGAAGATGGGGATGAGGAGCTTGCGCGACTCCACGATGTTGGCGAGCTCGTGGAGGCAGAAGTCGGAGTCGAAGTAGCGCGGGGAGAAAATGGCCACGGCGACCCTGCACTGCCTGATGCCCTCGTTGATGCTCTCGTGGAGCCTGTCGCCGGGGCGCATGGACTTGTTGTCCAGGAAGGAGCGGACCTGCCCCCCGCTGAGGTGCTCGAGGCGGTCGTACAGGAGGCGCGCCACGTTGTGCTTGGTGTCCACCCCGCGGTGGTTGATGAACACGTCGTACTTCTTGGGCGACGCGGGCGCCGCGGGCCTCTCATCGTCGACGCGCCGCGTCGCCCACCGCGCGGCGAGCTCGGCGTTCCCCATCGCCGCCTCCGCCGACGCGTTTAGCCGCGATGCGATGTCGCAGTCGTCGCTGATCACGGCCGACGACCTCTGTGGCGGTAGTGTGGATGACGACGCCATTGGATTGACGGCCGGAATGCGGGCGGGCCGGAGAATGAAGCTGAGTGAATTCCTTCCTCGGGTCGAATCCGAGAGCGGTTTTTGGAATGTAGCTAGGGCTGGGAGGAGTGTGACCGAGGGCCTCGATCGACCGACGATGGTGTGAGAAAGCACGTCGAGAGGCCGAGATCGGCGTACGTGCGTGCTGTCGGAGACTTGGATCCGGAGCCGATTGAGATTGCTAGTATGCAGCTGCTGCTCTCTCAGATCGGTCGAGAAAGTGAACCTGAATTGATGAACGATCGTCGTCGTCTATGGCGCTAATAGAGCTCTTTGCCGATGTGCAGTGCAGCTGCTGGAACGGGTCTGTTTTTATAGGGATCGGATCGGTGAAGAGCCGTTGAATTTCAAAATTTTTGACAGGAAGAGGAAAATTATACGCGCGTCTGCTGGCGTGCTCGTGCTCTAAGCAGCCTCATTCAACGGAACCCGCGGCGGAAGACAGCCAACCAAACGAACAAGATGTTATAGGGGCTTGGAGGCTTAGCTAATGCATGGGCCCACCATCCTCGGCTACTTTATTAATTAGGACATCTCTGGCTGCATCCAGATTCGTGCTTCTGCATGCACGCGCACGGCCGATCGGCTTAGCATAGTTACGCGTTATTAGGCTAGTCGATCTCAGTGCAGAGTTTCACGACACAGTCACCCAGACTGGTCTGTGGTCTCACGTATGTGAAGCAGCAAATCAAAGAGGGTTCTTCCTGCCCCAAGGAAGCTCGGTGCTGGACCCTTCGACTGCTTGCACATTCGCAGCCACGCTGCCCACGATAGTCGTCCGAATTCCTCGGTTTGATTTTTCCGCCTGCACGTGGACCGGAGACAGCATTTGCATTGGATTTTACACAGTATAATATCTAGGTTGGGCCGAGTCTCCAAAACCCATCGACGAGGCTCCCCGATCAGGAGACCCCTTCAAATACGCGATCGAGCGGCTCCTTCCGATGACGCGAGAGCCAAGGGATGCAACGGAGAGGCGGCGACGATCGATGCTGCTCCTGACCGCGACTCCAACATAGGCGGTTGTGGCCGAGAGCTGATCCGTACTCTCGTCGTTTCTTTTTCCCCCTCTAAGGCATCAAAAGCGTAGTCAAATTAAACCCCGGTTAGTTTATCTCGTTTCATGTAATCGTCTTGCCAAGGTGGCTTTTGGCTCGATCGCTACAGTGAAACGCTTGTTCCGAGCTCTGACGACTAGCTGTGGTAGGGAGACGTACTATATGATGGCGTCATGGCTGATGAGATAATAGATTGGATGGAAAAGGTGCAGAAGGCACCACCAAAAAATCGTTGTCAGCACACAGTCGGAGTAACTGCATTTTTCCATTTTAGAACATGACTGAGTTTTGCCACTACTTTGTCTGTATGTTGTCGTCCAATTTCTTTTGGATTTCTATGCATGTGTGTGTGTGAGACCAGACTACCAGAGACTCTCAATTGTTACGTAGAACAAATAGAGAGATGTGAGGGATTTTAAATAAACATGGATTATTTTAATCCATTTAAAATTGAATAAGCTAGAAAGGTTGCGACTCAAATAGCATGGGTAGCTAGGTTTTTAGTAACATTCAATGTTTTACTCATTATTTTTCAAATAGCTTGTTTAATTGCAATTGTCCTTCAAAATGTGCCCCCGCTAGGATATTCGATACGAAATCCGTAAAGATATTTTTGATTAATTCTTTGGCTTGAAGCTATCATGGTCTCTGTCTCCTCTCTTTATTCCCACTCCAATCTTGTGACTATACAAATTTTACCAAGTCGAACATCATTTTTATTCTAAATTTAGCTATTTATTATTGTTATTTTCCAAATAATCCTTAGTAACTAATTTCGCTTCTCAATTTGTGTGGGAATAGATAATCAATATTTTAATTTGGAAATTAGATATATATATATATATATATTTATTTATTGTGTTTTAGCATGACTATTTAGCTTGTTTCCAGTTTAGTGAGATTTTTTTATTCTATTTGTGTTCTTCACGGGATGGGCTTCTATCTCATATGGTTTGGATTCAGGTCCCAGTTACAATCTTCTACAACAAAAAAGAACAAAGCGTGGACACTTTTTGGTGCGACATTAATGATCCAAACATTCAATGTCTACGCCCGTGCGATCTTTTCCGCGCCCCCTGAGTCGTCTCCTTTCAAAAGAAAAGCGTCGCTCAAGAAACAAAACCGCATCCTTGGAAGGAGATGAAAAAGTGAAAGCTATCTGATTTGTTCTACGTAACAATTGAACGAAAAATCTAGCAATAATTGTAGTCTTGTCTCACACAGGCTGAATATGGCATGCATTTAAAATCCAAAAGAAATTGAGAGCAGCAACTGCATACTAGCAATCTCAATCGGCTCCGGATCCAAGTCTCCGACAGCACGCACGCATACGCCGATCTCGGCCTCTCGACGTGCTGCTTTCACACGATCGTCGGTCGATCGAGGCCCTCGGTCACACTCCTCCCAGCCCTAGCTACATTCCAAAAACAGCGCTCGGATTCCACCCGAGTAAGGAATTCACTCAGCTTCATTCTCCGGCCCGCCCGCATTCCGGCCGTCAATCCAATGGCGTCGTCATCCGCACTACCGCCACAGAGGTCGTCGGCCGTGATCAGCGACGACTGCGACATCGCATGGGGAACGCCGAGCTCGCCGCGCGGTGGGCAACGCGGCGCGTCGACGACGAGAGGCCCGCGTCGCCCAAGAAGTACGACTTGTTCATCAACCACCGCGGGGTGGACACCAAGCACAACGTGGCGCGCCTCCTGTACGACCGCCTCGAGCACCTCAGCGGGGGCCGGGTCCGCTGCTTCCTGGACAACAAGTCCATGCGCCCCGGCGACAGGCTCCACGAGAGCATCAACGAGGGCATCAGGCAGTGCAGGGTCGCCGTGGCCATTTTCTCCCCGCGCTACTTCGACTCCGACTTCTGCCTCCACGAGCTCGCCAACATCGTGGAGTCGCGCAAGCTCCTCATCCCCATCTTCTACGGCATCAAGCCCGACCGCTTCAGGTTCGCTCTCAACGAGGCCAAGTACACCGTCGGCCTCACCCACGACCCCTCCAAAGAGTACGTGCCCTCTTATTTGCAACTCCATCTCCAATTCTCCATGCACGTACACCAGGTCCGCCAAGTCACTGCAGATCGCCATTGCACAAAGATGGAGTCAGTTCAAAGCTAGTAGATGCTAGCTTGCATCATTGCATGCGTTCATGTATAATATAATGCACACGATGAGGTCACAGCCGAGGCTAGCTAGAGCGAGGTGAATGCGTGAATAATGTCAATGTGGCGCGTGCATGGAGAATTGGAGATGGAGTTGCAAATAAGAGGGCACGTACTCTTTGGCGGGGTCGTGGGTGAGGCCGACGGTGTACTTGGCCTCCTTGAGAGCGAACCTGAAGCGGTCGATGTCCCGGGGCATGAATGTTTGGGAGTCGACCACCTCCTGCGGCAGGATGAGCTCCGAGGGCTTGATGCCGTAGAAGATGGGGATGAGGAGCTTGCGCAACTCCACGATGTTGGCGAACTCGTGGAGGCAGAAGTCGGAGTCGAAGTAGCGCGGGGAGAAAATGGCCACGGCGACCCTGCACTGCCTGATGCCCTCGTTGATGCTCTCGTGGAGCCTGTCGCCGGGGCGCATGGACTTGTTGTCCAGGAAGCAGCGGACCCGCCCCCCGCTGAGGTGCTCGAGGCGGTCGTACAGGAGGCGCGCCACGTTGTGCTTGGTGTCCACCCTGCGGTGGTTGATGAACACGTCGTACTTCTTGGGCGCCGCGGGCCTCTCGTCGTCGACGCGCCGCGTCGCCCACCGCGCGGCGATCTCGGCGTTCCCCATCGCCGCCTCCGCCGACGCGTTTAGCCGCGATGCGATGTCGCAGTCGTCGTTGATCACGGCCGACGACCTCTGTGGCGGTAGTGCCGATGACGACGCCATTGGATTGACGACCGGAATGCGGGCGGGCCGGAGAATGAAGCTGAGTGAATTCCTTACTCGGGTCGAATCCGAGCGCTGTTTTTGGAATGTAGCTAGGGCTGGGAGGAGTGTGACCGAGGGCCTCGATCGTCCGACGATCGTGTGAGAAAGCACGTCGAGAGGCCGAGATCGGCGTACGTGCGTGCTGTCGGAGACTTGGATCCGGAGCCGATTGAGATTGCTAGTGTGCAGCTGCTGCTCTCTCAGATCGGTCGAGAAAGTGAACCTGAATTGATGAACGATCGTCGTCGTCTATGGCGCTAATAGAGCTCTTTTGCCGATGTGCAGTGCAGCTGCTGGAACGGGTTTGTTTTATAGGGATCGGATCGGTGGTGAAGAGCCGTTGAATGTCAAAAATTTTCACAGGAAGAGGAAAATTATACGCGCGCTCGTGCTCTAAGCAGTCTCATTCGACGGAACCCGCGGCGGAAGACAGCCAACCAAACGAACAAGAGGTTATAGGGGCTTGGAGGCTTAGCTAATGCATGGGCCCACCATCCTCGGCTACTTTATTAATTAGGACATCTCTGGCTGCATCCAGATTCGTGCTCCTGCATGCACGCGCACGGCCGATCGGCTTAGCATAGTTACGTTATTAGGCTAGTCGATCTCAGTGCAGAGTTTCGTGACACAGTCACCCAGAGACTGGTCTCACGTATGTGAAGCAGCAAATCAAAGAGGGTTCCTCCTGTCCCAAGGAAGCTCGGTGCTGGACCCTTCGGCTGCTTGCACATTCGCAGCCACGCTGCCCACGATAGTCGTCCGAATTCCTCCGTTTGATTTTTCCGCCTGCACGTGGACCGGAGACAGCATTTGCATTGGATTTTATCCAGTATAACATCCAGAAATGCTATACAACACACGTGTATTTTAGCGGAAAAAAACATATGTATTTTCTCTCTCTCCCTCCGTTCTACTGACGCCGCGCAACGCATGCACGCGTCCTCCGATCCCGCCCACTCCGTCGCTATGTCCAAGCGAAGCGATCGAGTCGCCGTCACGCCCCAGCCCCGGCCCCCGCCCGGACCGTGCCGCTGGCTGCATCTCGGACGAAGCTGCGCCCGCACCGTGCCTCCAGGTAGGTCTCTCCTGCTCCTCCTTTGCGGTCTGTAATTTGTCTTTCCATAGAAAAAAAAATATTTCTTGTGATTTGTGGATCTATGATCTTGTGATTGTCTGCAGGTAGAAAAATGCTGGAGACTAAAGGTTGAAGGAGGATGGAGGCTGTTGAATCTTAATTCTATAGTGAAAAAAAAATTATATATTAAAATTATATAAAACACATGATTATTTAGTACACAGCCTCGGACCGGGTCTCAAAACCCATCGGCGAGGCTCCCCGATCGGGAGACCCCTTCAAATACGCGATCGAGCGGCTCCTTCCGATGACGCGAGAGCCAAGGGATGACGCCAGCGCGGTTGGACTCTCCTCGGCAGCTCGCTGTTGTTGCCTGTTGAGGCATTCAACCCCCACCTCCACACCAGCGCACCTCGTACCCGTTTCCGTCTGGGCTCCCGCTAGCTGCTGCCGGCTCTGTGATGCAAGGAGGGAATTCTTGGTGTGCCGTACGCGAAAAGGATTTTTTTTTTACTGATGTGAAGGGATGCTTAGACTCTCGCTCTGACGGCGACAATGCATATGGATTATTGTGGGAATAGTCCACGTAGATTTCTTGGGGGATGCAACGGAGAGGCGGCGACGATCGATGCTGCTCCTGACCGCGACTCCAACATAGGCGGTTGTGGCCGAGAGCTGATCCGTACTCTCTTCGTTTCTTTTTCCCCCTCTAAGAGCATCTCCAAGAATTTGCCAAAACCACTTGCTATCCTTGGTTTTTTGGCAAAACTAGAAAAATCAAACTCAACAGTTTGGCATATGGCTTGGCAAATTTTCCCAACTTGCCATCCACCGGTCGTTCACGCGCATATTTGCGCGCGGTAGGGGACTTGCCATCGCGTTGCCATCGCGTGAATTGCCGGCCCCGCCTCCTCTCCCGAGCGCAGATGGAACTTTCACCCTGCGTTTCCCTCGCCACCCAGGCCTCGTACCGCTTCATATATCCCTGGCGCGACTCGAAGAGCCAGCTGCGCCGGCGTCTTCCTCGCGAGGACTGGATCCAGATCCCATCGCGAAGTGCCTCCACGGACTCGAGCAGACCATATCGCGGTGGCCGCCCTACTCCCGATCCTGAGGTACGTCATCCTTGATCTAATCTCAGTCCAACTCCATGCCTTGATTTGGTTCCCCTAGGGTTCATATGCCTTGATTGGGTTCAGCGATGATGGTTCATATGCCTTGATTGGATTCAGCGATGATGGTTCATATGCCTTGAATGATTACGCTAGGGTTGATTTTTGTTGCGTGCTAGGTTTCATATGTGGTAGTGGTAGATTCACCTACCATTCATGCCTTGATTTGTATTTTTGTACTGAAACAAAACAGCAACCTAGTTCTTCTTGTTAATTAGTGGTAGTTGTATTTTTTTTATAGGAATGGAGATGCAAGTAGATGACCCAAATTTCTTGTCGAACATTCTTGGAGAAGTTGAAGCTGGTGCTGGTTTGGAAGACATGGACATTGGATTAACTCAAGACACTCAACCTCATGACGAACTGCAAGTTAGCATGATACAAAGCCAGGAGCAGCCAAGAGGAAAAGAATTTCCATTGGCGGGAAGATGAAATTATATGCTCGGGCTGGTTGAATGTAAGCAAAGATCCCATTCACGGTGCCAATCAAACTCGTTCATCTTTTTGGGGACGAATTCATGCCTATTATGAGGAACACAAGGAAACTCCTGATGAGAGGACAGTGAGCAGTATTATGCATAGGTGGCTGACAATTCAATTGCAAGTGAACAAGTTTTGTTCATGCTATGAGGCCATTCTACGTAGGAATCAAAGTGGGTTAACTATTGATGACAAGGTATGCAAACATGTGTTGTTTTACTTTAATTTGGTTTTTATAAATGATATATGCAATGACAATATCCCTTTACAGATTATTGAAGCAAAAAAATTGTATGTGGAATGGGACAAGGACAACAAAACTTTTGGTCTTTTACACTGTTGGAAAATATTGAAGGGGGAAGACAAGTGGAAATCGAAGATGATAGAACTAGTTGAGGTGGAGAAAGAGAAGCAAGCAAGCAAGAAAAGCGAGAAGAGTTCGGGCCGAGGGATGAAGGAGCCACATATGATGATGGCACACATAATGATGCCACACATAATGATGCTCTCATAGAAGCTGAAGCTGAACAAACCTTACCAAAGAAAAGGTCGGATGGGATAAAGAAGGTAAAAGCAAATATGAAGCGTGGTGGTGGCGAGGCTTGCATGGAAGCTTTGGACAAGATGATGGCAAAGAGGAGGTTTTGGAGAAGGCCAAAGAAGCAAGGTTCATGGCTTCACTAGAGGTAGAGAAGGCTGCTCTAGAGCTAGAGAAGAAAGCAGGTTGCAAGTGAAGAAAAAAAAAAAAAGCGAAGCGAACTCTTGAAGAGGAAAAAGATATTATGTTAGCGGACATGTCGTCCCTCACCCCGACCCAGCGTGCATGGGTTGAGAAGAAGCGAAGATGATTATGGAGAAGATGGAGGAAAATTAAATTCGGTTTAGTTATCCGACCTTTGTGTCACTTAGGTTATTCTTTGTTGAACCATTATGAAATTTATTTAAGCTTCTTTGGAGTTCAAGTTATTTGCACTTGTGTTGAATTAGTTTATGTGCCTCTTCATTTTTATATGCGTGTGCTATCTTTCTGCTTTCGCCAATGTAAAGGTTCTCTGAACAAATTAAGCCATGAAAATTACATCTCATGTCAAAATTCATTTATATAAATCTGGGTGATTTTTCCACAGGTGCTCGATGAGGTCTTCTTTCAGTTGAACATGTGTTTGCTTCTCCCCGATCTTTACATGCGCTTCAATGTATTCTTCAAAGTATGCGGGTAGGCTTGTCATGCTCGGGTTCGACATTTTCACCACCGTAATCAAAACGCTCATTTGGGTCGACAACGAATCCTTCATCTTCCACAATCATGTTGTGCATGATCACACAAGCTCTCATGATCTTTGTTAATGTCTCTATGTCCCAAAAGCGAAAGTGACCCTCGAACAATTGCAAACCTAGGTGAAGAACCCCAAAAGCTCTCTCGACCATCTTCCCGGCCGCTTCTTGCGCTTTAGCAAAATATTGTCTCTTGTTCCCCATAGGTTTAGTGATCGACTTGACTAAAGTAGCCCATGTGGGATATATGCCATCTGCAAGATAATAGCCCATTGTATAATCATGGCCATTAATGAGAAAAATTGACTTGGAGCTTTTCATACGCCAAGTTATCAAACAACGGAGACCTATGAAGAACATTGATATCATTATGAGAGCCGGGCATTCCAAAAAGGCGTGCCATATCCAAAGGTCGTTGAAACAATGACCTCCAAAATGATAGTGGGCTTCTCCTCTTTCCCCTTGTCTTGACCACATTTTATCGTATGGACGGTTCTTCCACGCCCAATGCATACAATCTATGGACCCTAGCATCCCTAGAAAGCCTTGTTGCTCACCCATTGCAAGTAAGCGTCTTTGTGTCCGCCTCATTGGGATATCCGAGGTATTCTTCTCCAAATATTTCATCAATTGCGGTAACAAACCTCCGTAGTAAGCTCTCTAGTGCAGTACTTTCGCCAATGCGAACGTACTCATCTGTCGCATCAGCGGGAACGCCATAAGTGATCATACGCATTGCTGCAGTGACTTTTTGCAGGCAACTCAATCCAAGTACATTAGCCGCGTTCCTTTTCTGCACAAAATAATCATCATTATGCTTCAAGCGCATTCATGATGCGTGCGAAAAGCTCTCTAGACATCCTGAACCTGAAGAAAACAAAACTAAACTTTTAGAACTCCAATAAAATTTAATCACATACAACAAATCAACTTAAGTGAAATAAGAACAACCTTGACGAAATATTTGAGGGCCATATGTTGGATTCTCCGCCATGTAATCTTGAAACAACCTCTCGTGGCCGCCTTCTCTATCACGGTGAAGAACTCTATGGCCTTCGACAGAGCCACCGTGTTTTTTTTGGCATTGGCAAAGGAGTCCACAATTACAGCAGCCGATAACATGTCAAAATCATCATCATCGGATGTTGAATCACCCAACTGTCTTCGAAAAAGGGATCTCTTCCTAGACATGATTCCTTACTAACAAAAGTACCGGAATTCGTACAACCTAGATCATTGGATGGGAACTTTCCTCAGTATATTGCAAGAAACTAAAGAATATAGAAATTGCAATACGTATAACCTAGATCATTGGATCTTTGAACCGATGGGAACATCACCGGAGGTCTTGGAGGAGATGGCGGCGCCTTGGACTCATTGGCTCGATGAAGCAGGATTGCCGGCGGATGAGAGATCGATGTTGGGGCCAGCGGAGGATGAGATTTGGGCGGCTGCAGGAAGCGGCGATGTGTGGCGGCGCTTGCGACGGAGGAGTCATGGGCGCCAAAGCGAGGAGTGTCGTATGCCATGTGAGCGTCGAACAAAATTAGTTGACGGAGGTTTGGAAGTGGGCCTACTTTTTAAGTTTTGGCAAGCCCATATGGCAAACTATTGGAGAGACTACAAAATTTCACTTGCCATATGTTTTAGCAACTTGCCAAATCACAAGATTTGGCAAGTGAGTTTTAGCAAACTCTTGGAGATGCTCTAAGGCGGCAAAAGCGTAGTCAAATCAAACCCCGGTTAGCTTATCTCGTTTCGTGTAATCGTCTTGCCAAGATTGCGAGTTTTTTCACTCTCTTTCCATCACATCAAATCTTTGGACACATACGTGGAGTATTAAATATAGATAAAAAAAATAACTAATTACATAGTTTGATTGTAAATTACGAGACGAATCTTTTGAACCTAGTTAGGCCATGATTGGATAATAATTGTCAAATACAAACGAAAGTGTTACAGTGCCAAATACTGATTTCTAACCCCAATCTAAACAACACTTTTGACTCGATCGCTACAGTGAAACACTTGTTCCGAGCTCTGACGGCTAGCTGTGGTAGGGAGACGTACTATATGATGGCGTCATGGCTGATGAGATAATAGATTGGGTGGAAAAGGTGCAGAAGGCACCACCAAAAAATCGTTGTCAGCACACAGTCGGAGTAACTGTATTTTTCCATTTTAGAACATGACTGAGTTTTGCCGCTACTTTGTCTGTATGTTGTCGTCCAATTTCTTTTGGATTTCTATGCATGTGTGTGTGTGAGACCAGACTACCAGAGACTCTCGATTGTTACGTAGACAAATAGAGAGATGTGAGGGATTTTAAATAAACATGGATTATTTTAATCCATTTAAAATTGAATAAGCTAGAAAGGTTGCGACTCAAATAGCATGGGTAGCTAGGTTTTTAGTAACATTCAATGTTTTACTCATTATTTTTTCAAATAGCTTGTTTAATTCCAATTGTCCTTCACGGGATGGGCTTCTATCTCATCTGGATTGGATTCAGGTCCCAGTTACAATCAATCAAAGGAGGGGGGCTGATGGACCAAGAATCCATAGGGACTTTAATCACAAGAAAATGATAGAACTTAATCAAATGAAGAAAAAAACCTAATCCTTTTTAATAGTAGAGAAATATTTAAACTGTTGTAGGATCATTAAAATCGATGGTACTTTATTTTCCTAGTATTTTGGTGACTTTTAGTCTTCTAGATGAATGTTTTAAATTTGGTGAGATATGCACCGGTATGTATATGCCACCATCTATATTGAGCTATATGTCTTCAACTCAAATATTTATGCCTATTTCTTCCTATCTTAATGTACACTCTCCTTCCCCAAATAAATTAACTTAGGCCCTGTTCGCTTCGCTGAAAAAACAAGCTGAAACACTGTTCCGGCTGATTTGTTGTGAGAGAAAAATACTGTTTCGGCTGAAAAGATAAGCCGAAAAATACGGATTATAAGACAAGCGAACATGGCCTTAGAGTTGCCTAAAGTCCATTTTTTTATGTTTGACTAAATTTATAGAGAAAACACCAATATTTATGACACCAAATAAAATATATTTCATGATGTATATAATGGTACTAATGGGTGAAGACTTTCAACCGGATGCATTCTCTCTGTCATCACGGCTAAGAGCTTAAAGGTCCTTGCCTCCTATCGACAATTCTTCCCTCCTGGACCCAATGTACATTGCAAAACAATTTGCATTGTTCCTCTAGCCCATTCACTCACGTCTCCACCATAGGGAAAAAATATACATCAAGTACGTAAAAAATTTGGTAATTTTCTTATGCGCCATTGACTCATGCATGCTACCTTGATAGTGTTTATGTGCTCAGATTGTAATGCCCATGTTGCATCTTAGTTTGAAATTGCCCTAGATTTGATTGAGAAGTCAATCCCTGAAAACATATGGCCGGGAAGATGATGTCCATGTTGCAACTTGGTACTCCGTGGTGTTGTTCTGGAAGTTTGTCCATGAGGAAATACAATCAATATGGTGCATCGTTGGTGGAACATCTGAATTGCACAGGGCGCTAACAACATCAACTTAGCAAGATCGTCCTAACAAAGTGAGTTTGCACAAGATTATCTCTTTTCTTGCAATTAGCAAGAAGGGGTCAACACTAAACACCACTACTTATGATGGTGGACAAAATGGTGGTCATTGTGTGATGGTCGGCCGATTGCAAGGACACAACGATTCTTGTAGGAGTTTGATGAGTTCTTGGGCAAATCTAGGCCCTGTTCGTTTCCACTACATAGTGTGAAAAGCATATTATAGATTATGAACTATAGAAAACCTGAATCATAACAGTCTGAATTATAAAAATTAAACTGGTGTTGTTTGGCATCCTGGATTATAGGGTGGTGGGACTACTGACATTTGCTACACAACGTCTATAGTTGAAAGTCCGTTTGGATTTTGGGAATTAATGACAATATTCATGGACTAATGGTTTCATGTGAGATGAAAGGTTGATCAATAGCCCACAAGCAATACTTGGAGCTACATGAGGTCATGAAGGAGATATGACATGAACCATGTGATGCAAGAGCTCAACAAAGTGAAGAGATGGAAGCAAAGGATAAAATACAAATGAAGGCAAATGTATATGCATAGGTTTTGTCTTTCACCAGCCATAAATTAATTAGAGAAGTTGAAATGGGCCATGTCGAGGATAGATAAACGTACTATAAAAGAGAAAATAGAGTTTGCGAATGTGGAGAGTGTTTTTCATGCACGCACATCGAACTCTAACATGCACTAGAGCTCACCGGCGGTGCACCGAGACCACATCGGAGTTTAACAACTACTATAACTGACTTAGCAGGTGACCGTTGGAAAGCTCCAGTGAGGCACATGAACTCTCTAGTGCTCCTGTGAAAGCTCTAGTTTGGTTTTGGTAAATTGATGAAACCCTAAGTGCTAATCTAGTTCATCAAGTGATCATGAGATAGGTAGCACACTTCAAGTAGAGAAGCAAATGAAGATCATAACATGACAATGGTGATAGCATGGAGATGATCAAGGGCTTAAACTTGAAGAGAAGAAAGAGAAAAACAAAAAGTTCAAGGCAAAGGTATAACTTGTAGGAGCTATTTTATTTTGGTGATCAAGACACTTAGAGAGTGTGATCATATTTAGGTTTGATAGCCGTACTATTAAGAGGGGTGAAACTCGTATCGGAATGCGGTTATCAAAGTGCCACTAGATGCTCTAACTCATTGCATATGCATTTAGGATTTAGTGGAGTGCTAACACCCTTGATAATATTTGTGTAAATATACTACCACATGTGCACAAGGTGTTTGTAGGGTTGAGATGGGTTTGGGTCCCTCTCTCCCTCCCGCCTCTCAAGCTCGGCGAGATTCGGCGCTTTTGGGAAAATGAAATGTCTATTTTCTATTGCGCCGGATGCAAAATTCTTGGTGGTTGGCACACTTGAGCAAGGGTGAAGAAGTAAGAGTTGAAATGGAGTTGATCGAAATAATGCTGGCGTCAGTCCAGTGACCGGACGCTGAATCCAGAAGCACCGGACGCTGACTGCCTGCGTCCGGTCACGCTGACTCGGCGGTACAGTGGCTAGGGTATACCACCGGACGCTGGCTGAGTCCGGTCGAGGTGGACCGGACGCGTCCGGTCGAAGAAAAATGGATTTGGACCCTTACTGTACTCGACCGGACGCTGTGGCTCCAGCGTCCGGTCAGTTTTACCGGAGCGTCCGGTCAGCTTCGCGACCGTTGAAATCTGACGAACAGTATTTGAAGCAGGGGACACGTGGCGTGAATCACGTGACCGGACGCTGAGGGCCAGCGTCCGGTCACCCCGCGCTGTGCCCAGTGAAGGGGTACAACGGCTCTATTTCACTGGGGCTCTATTTATAGCCCCATGGCCGGCTCAAGAGATAGCTCTTGCACATTTTCATTGACATAGCAACCTTGTGAGCCTAGCCAAAGCCCTCCCACTCATCTACATCATTGATTCATCATCATAGTGAGATTGGGAGTGAATCCAAGTGTATTGCTTGAGTGATTGCATCTAGAGGCATTTGGTGATTGTGTTTCGCTGCGGATTTCGCTTGTTACTCTTGATGGTTGCCGCCACCTAGACGGCTTGGAGCAGCAAGGATCGTTGAGTGGAGGAGGTGATTGTCTCTGACTCCGATCGTGGTGATTGTGAGGGGTTCTTGACCTTTCCCCGGCGGAGCGCCAAAAGGTACTCTAGTAAATTGCTTGTGGCTTGTGTGATCCTCATCTTGTGTTGGTTGTGCGGCACCCTATTGAGGGTTTGGCGAGTGATGCCAATCAGCGTGTGAACCTCCAAGTGAGTGAATCGCCGCAACGAGGACTAGCTTGCCGGCAAGCAAGTGAACCTCGGTAAAAATCATTGTGTTCATCATTGATTCCGAGGTGATTGGTCATCATTGTTATTCATCTTCGTGATTGATTGGTTCATTCATCTACATGGCGGTATAACCCTCTTGATCACTCTCTTTACTTTACCGCAAACTAGTCGACAAGCTCTTTAGTGTAGCTAGTTGTGAGAGCTTGCATGCTTGGTTGGTGTGGCTCTTTAGTTAGCCTTTGAGAGCACACTAACATAGGGTAGTGTCATTGCTCTTGTGTGAATTGACACTGTCTAAACTAGAATTGTGATAGGTGGCTTGCATTTTTGAGTAGGCTAGCGCAACACTTGCTTCGCCTCATAATTGTCTAACCATTTGGTTAAGTGTTGTTGTAGAAATTTTTATTAGGCTATTCACCCCCCCTCTAGCCATTAGGACCTTTCATCCTGTCTTTACCAAATCAAGTTGGCAACGATTAGTTTCTTGAGTAGACGTATAAATACAGGTGTGGCTAGTCTATATATAACTCTTAGACCTCTTAGCTAATATCCACACACATTAGAGCTCAAGATACACCTCCACTCACATTTGCTTGGTAGAGATTACATTCTTCATGGTATTGGAGTGATTCTAGTGCATGTGCTTTGAGAGATTACATTAAGTAGCACTAAAGATGAACTTTTTTGTGGGTTTTCTTGTTACTCTTGGTAGTTCTTAGTCACCTAGGCGACTTGAAGTAGCGCAGGACTCAATTGAAGATTGTGAGGTGCTCGAGAGGTGTGTGAGGGGCTATTAGGTTCATCCCCATCGGAGAAGGCAAAGAACAACTCTAGTGGAAAAGGGGCTTAGATAGCACTTTGTGATCGAGCCGACTTGAGATCAAGTGCTCACATCGAGCCAACCTTGTGGGGTTGTTAACTTTGATAGAGGAATTATGATCCTTGGGCTTGCCTCAACATGGACGTAGGTGACCATCAAGTTCTTGTACTATAGGTGATATATCTTTGTCATCCCTTATGTGGTATTCCACTTGATAACTCTACTCCTGTGCTTTACTTTGTGTTCTTACTATTCCTACAATAGAGCTATTAGGATTTATCATCTTAGTAAGAAAACCGACCTTGGTTGATCCAACTCTAGTGACATGCTTAGTTCATATTTGTGACATTGAATTGTGTAGGTTGTTGATCACCCTAAGTTTGCAAGACACTAACTAGAGTAGAACTATTAGGGCCTCCTTTGTATCTAACCTCTTTGTCTAGTGTTTGTGAGTTCATAGATTTTTTAGTTAGGTTATTTACCCCATCTAGCCATCCAAAGATCCTTTCAAGTGGTATTAGAGTCAAGCCTCAATTAATTTGAAGAGTTAACCATTTTGAAGTAAAGGAGTGTCTAGCAATAGTATTGGCAAGCCCCCCAACTTTGATGGCACAAATTATGACTATTGGAAGGGAAGAATGTGTGCTTATTTAAAGTTATGGGAAAAAGATTTGGGGAGTAGTAGTCGAAGTTTGCTGTGCTTGATACGAAGGATCCTTCCTTGGTCCAGGAGAGGAGGAGAAGCTTGAACTCAATGAACAACCCTCAATGTGATCTATGAAGCATAGGATCCCAAGGTCTTGTAGACCATCAAGGATTTGGAGATGGCACATAAGGTGTAGAAGGGATTAGAGAAAGTATATGAGGGTACTACAGCGGTAAAGGATATCGAGCTATATATTTTCAAAGACAAATATACAAAGTTCCAAATATCGAGTGGAGAGTATCCCAGGAGATGTTCCGTCTGATGTAAATGTGATTGTCTATAAATTGAGAAGACTAGGACAAAATATGAGTGATGACGTCTTCTCTCACTAGTTCTTGAGATGTCTTCCCAAGAAGTTCAAGATCATAGTCACTGTGATCTCGAGAGGTGGATTGAAGAACCTCACTTCCACACAAGTATTGGGAGAAGATCATCACTCGTGACAAAATTGATCATGATAATGAGAGTGATGAGCAAGAAGAGGAGGAGGAGAAGAGCATAGCTTTCATTGTCCATGTTTGGTTAGAGCTTTCATTGCCCGTGTTTGGTTACCTAAACAACCTATATGCATGTTAGTGTCCTCAAAGCAAACCCAACATGCATCCCACAATTTGGCCAAGATCACACTTATCCATCTATGCATCACCGCTTGCATGTCATTTGCACCTTAAGGCTCGGTCTAACCACTTACTGATTTAGATGGATCAAACAACAACTTTTTTTTTGAGAATTACACAAGACAACGAGAGACGCATACGATATAGGTTAAGGGCATTCTTTGCATAACCCTTAATACAATGCAATATTGATGCGATCGGACTCATAGTGATGATTGATTTTTTGCATAGTGAAAATCTCAAAATAGTAGGTATAAATCTCATTTTGGGCGATATCCGTATTTCATTCTCATTTTCTACATAAATTTTATTTTCTTAGAAATTCCAAACATGAATTTGGCTAAATTTCACATGACCTTTTCAACACGTGAAAATGGAGGGATTAACTTCCTCTCTTTTTTTCAATAAAATAAATAAAAATGCTACTCTATGAGTCTACAGCCACCGACGGGCAGGACCCACAGTCAGTTACCCATGTCAGTGGGCGGCCACGGGCAGGACCCACAGTCAGTTACCCATGTCAGTGGGCGGCCACGACGTCGTACTCGCATCCCAATCTCCGTCGTCCCCCGCCTCACTCCCTCCGCCGGCACTCCACCTCCCCATCCCCGCCCACCCCACCGCGTGGGCGGCCCCATGTGGGAGCGCGGCAGGCCGCCCCGCAAGCCCCGCCCGTCCCCGATCCTCGTGCCGCCGCCCCCGTCGTCGCCGCCACCCCGCCTGAATCTCCTCCTCCCGGGATCCCTCCTCGCGCTCGCCGCGCGCGCCATGCCGTCGCGCCGCCCCTCCCCGGTCCTCCTCCTACTCCTCACGCTCTCGCTCGCCCTCCTCTTCCTTATCCTCTCCCCTTCCTCCCCCTCCGCCTCCGTCTTCTCCCGCTCCCTCAGCTCGGGCTCCGCTATCGCCTCCTCATCTCCGGCGTCAACCTCCGCCCCGCCTGCTCCCGTCAAGATCTACCTGTACGACCTGCCCGCCAAGTTTACCTATGGCGTCGTCCGGAGCTACACGGCTGCGCGTGCGCCGTCGGGCTCGGCGGACGCCGCGGCGGCTCTGCCCGACGAGCAGCTGCGGTACCCGGGACACCAGCACGCGGCGGGTGGTGTCTCTTCATGGATCTGCTCCGACGCAGGCCGTGGGACCACCCCATGGCACGCGTGGACGACCCGAGCGATGCCGACCTCTTCTACGTGCCTTCTTCTCCTCCCTCAGCCTTGTTGTGAACCCCATCCGCTCTCCGCCGGCAGCAAACGCCTCTGGGGCGGCGGCAGCGTACAGCGACGAGGCCATGCAAGAGGAGCTGCTAGAGTGGCTGGAGCGGCAGCCTTACTGGCGGCGCCACAGGGGGAGGGATCACGTTTTCATCTGCCAGGACCCCAATGCCCTGTACAGTGTGATCGACCGGATCAGCAATGCCGTACTCCTGGTCTCTGATTTCGGCAGGTTGCGCAGCGATCAGGCATCTCTCGTCAAGGATGTCATCCTGCCCTACTCACACCGAATCAACTCCTTCAAGGGTGAGGTCGGGGTGGATGGCCGGCCCTCATTGCTGTTCTTCATGGGCAATAGGTACCGCAAGGAGAGGTAACTCTCGAATTTTGGAAGAAACATGATGAATTTAATCTGATTGGGGCATTGGTCAGTTTAAGTACAACTGTGTTTTAAGGGGGCATATATGCTGTAGAGTATAGACAACCAAGTGAAGGTGCCCTTTGGAACTTGTAGTTTGCTAATGTGCACAACATTCTTAATTGATACTCCTCCATCCTAAAAAGGATGCAATTCTAGATTTGAACCAAGTCAAAAAATTTAATAAGTTTGACTAAATTTATAGAAAATAGTACCAACATTTATGTCTCCAAATAGGTTTACTATGAAAATATATTTCATAAATAGTCTAATGATACTTATTCGGTACATAATTATGGTCAAACTTTACATTGTTTGACTCCTCGAAAAGCAAGAATTGCACTCTTTTTGGGACGGAGGAAGTATTAACTAAATGGTATTATATTGGTGGTGTTCTTATATGCATATTGTCTTGTATAAAGATGGAGCTTAGAAGAAACAGAGTTAGGATGCCTTTTCTTTTTGTGAATAAAGAGAGAGCTTTACAAATTACTGAAGCAAGAATTACACACTGGACAATGATTGCAATCTGCAATATGAAACAACCGTTTTGCTAGCTGGGTGAGCTCGTGAGTGACTGAATTCTGCTCTTTTTATGTGCTTGAAGAGAGATAGGCATGTGCATCTAGACAGGACCTATCCCTGGCTGCGAATTGGATGCCTCAAGTCCCCCAGAAGGTACACTTGGGTCAGATTGCGCCAACATCATCAAGCATCTGATCAAACCAACTACTCAGAGAACCAGCTCTAGCTTTGTTATCCAGGAAGCGGTAGAAGTAGCAGATAAACTCCCAGTAGTTAGGATGCAATTGTGCCTGCTTTGAATTTGTTTTGTTCTATGGCAAGTTGTGGAACCGATGCCCAAGGAAAATTGAACAAGGAAAAGTCAACTGGGGTTTCTTAAGACAATTGGTTTCAAGGGCAACATATACAAACCCCTCAAACAATTTTTTGATCTCAGTATATTTTTTGAATTATGTGTAAGGGCTTGTTGATTCAGAAATTTGTCAAATTTGAGAATTGCGTAGCGGTTAGAGTTCTGCAATCTTCAATTCAAGATATCCAGTTATTTTGGATACTTTACCAAAAAGTTTGTCTTTTTTGACAATTTCATTTGCCATAGTTGGCCTCTGAAACGTTTTTGTTTCTGTTTCAATTACCTGGCTCCTTTTCTTTTGCTCACCTTCTATGCATAGAATGTGATATCATTGTTGAAGGCAAATTTTTTTTGTTAGGAAGTAGGAACACTATAGAAGACAACAACTGCAGTATCCAATCATCCGCAACATCCTGATAAGAAACACAAAATCATGATTGATAAGATAAATTAAGTATGGAATATATGAGAAAAAAGGAAGTTGCATACTTTTTTTTTTCTTTTTGGTTTGAAACAAGCAAAAAAAAATTTGTTCAAGAGTCTTTAGAAGCCCCCCCATCCAAAATTCGTCAAGTATCCCTCTTTTGTTAAAAAAACAAATGTCAAAGCATTACTATGTTGCATCCTTTAGTTTGACTTTTTTGTTCCTTTTAATCAAAGTGTCTCTTGAGCCTTAGTTTCTTTTACATATAGTTCATCGTTGTTTTCCTTGTCAACGGAGTTACAGTCAGTGTCCTGTTCTGATTTTGTACTATGTTTATGCAATGTTATGTACTTATGCTACAGTTTGTCATTCTGAATATTGTAGGGAGGGAAGGTTCGTGATGCGCTTTTCCAGATTCTTGAAAACGAGGATGATGTAACCATAAAACATGGAACTCAATCAAGGGAGAGTCGTCGTGCAGCTAGACAAGGAATGCACTCATCTAAATTTTGCCTCCATCCTGCTGGAGATACTCCCTCAGCATGCAGATTATTTGATGCACTTGTCAGTCTGTGTGTTCCTGTTATAGTCAGTGATTACATTGAACTTCCATTCGAAGATATTATAGACTACAATAAAATATCAATATTTGTTGGGACAAGCAAAGCATTACAACCTGGATACTTAACTTCAATGCTTCGAAGAATCAGTTCAGAGAGGATTCTGGAGTACCAGAGGGAAATAAAAAAGGTCAGTACTGACTAACCTATATCATACCGCTGTTTGCATCTGTAAGATGCATGCTATTCTACTTATAAACAGCTCTTTCTTAGAGATGCCTTATTCCTGAGACAAATGGTTGCTCCAATGATAGGTTAGATGTTTCTTGGCTGCTGTATTGTTTCGTGCAGTGAATTTTGTTCTTTTAACATGGAAAACAATGTGTAGATTGCACATACAAAGCATGTTGGAAAATATGTGGTGCCTGAATGATGTAATAACATTTTGACTGTAGCTCAGTAAGCTTCAAAGGATTTGAAAAATAAATTTATGGGGACTGAAGTATAAACTTCCTCATCGATCAGCCTTTGAGGATTTAATGTCGTTAGCATAACTAGAGACTATCATGAAATTCTGCCATCACCATGCCTCAGCAAGAAATTCCATTTGTACTTTCCACTTCTGTGTACATTTGACATCTGAGTCAGCTACTCGGTGCATTTGCAGAGAAGATCACCCACCATTTCATTCTTGTTTGGCTTAGAATATGTAGTAAGAATGTGGATATATAGTGCTTTGGGGATTGTTTTGACAAACTGTCACTTTGGGCATATGATTACTTTCTGGCCTCATATATGAGCTATTTTGTGCTCTTTCACTAATTCGATCTTATATGGTAGTATACTTTTGTGGTTGCAAGTGGGTACATTGCACTGAATTGCTGGTTCATTATGTACTCCTTCCGTCCTGAAATGATATGTGTATTTTGATCAGGGAAAAGTCATACAAAGTAGATTTTGACCCTTATTTTTTTTTCACAATATGTTGTCATTTGCTAAAGAATCAATATCATCTAAAAAACACTTTGAATACAAATCTACTGATGCAAGTTTTATATCCTAAACTTGTATAAAATTTGAGTAATTGTTAGTCTACGATATACTTATCATTCTAGGACGGAGGGAGTAGTACATATGGTTGATTGAACAAAATAACTAGAACAAGCTGATGGGTCCATAACAGATTGCGCCCTTATTCATGCATGGGATGGAGATATGTGGTGTGAGGCAGGAACATGTGATGTTTCAATCTAGTCTTATATATTGCATAAAATTTAGATTTCAGAGGCATGACATGCACATTCAAATTTCTTTCAGTATATTTATCTGTTAATAATTTTCTTATTCGGCTGAAATTCGAATGACTTTTTCAGGTGAAACATTACTTTGAGTACGAGGATCCGAATGGACCAGTGAATGAGATTTGGCGCCAAGTATCTCTTAAAGCACCACTGATAAAGTTGTTGATTAACCGCAACAAACGGTTGCTTGAAAGAGGCACCAATGGAACAGATTGCTCGTGCATTTGCTCTACAACTCCAACTGAGATAACTGCAGCCAGTTAAACAAGACGGAACTCATCGCCCTACAAGCTTTGTGCCTATTTCCACTGATCACGTTGCCTGGATTTTTGAGGTTGTACAGTTATATGTAAAGCGAGATTACCAGCCACAATTTTTGAACATTAAATTTACTAATTGCCACAGTTCTTCAGTTTTCACTAGATTTGTATAGGAGGAGCGGATAGTCAGGAACCTTGTTGTGATGCCTTTCCTTGATACAAGGTACAGTACCCTTTTGTATGTGTAAGTTACATTAGTTCATTTTTGTCAGCAGTTTGCGGCCCTAGTTTTTGACCTACATAAGCATCAGTCCCTGTGCCTAGTTATTCTTTGGTAGCATAGCAGCAGGTGGTACAGGTCCATCCAGATTTAGGGCCTGTTTGAATCATAGGATTTTAGTAGGGAATTTTATAAGTGTTTACTTCATTTTAGATGAGGTGATAAGTTTATTCCTGAAATTTGATGGAATGACTTATTTTTAGATATCAATACTAATTATTAGCTTGCGAGGAATGATGAACAAAGAAAAATGATGAGTGAGAAAGTGATGGATCATCTTATTAGTTATTACTCTAATCAAACTCTATTATTCAAATTTGGTGGAATGATTTTATTTTCGTAAGAATAAAATGATGATGGAACAAAAATATGAAGAGGGAGGAAATGATGAATCACCTTATTTCTTGAACCAAACACAGTATCCTCTTTCACCGGAAAGGAACTACTTAGGCCCGTTTGAACCGGAAAGAAGTAAATATCTTTTCTACGTTCTAAACATCACAATTTTTCATTCCTGTATTTTAGAATCTCGTAGTTTTACATTTTTTTGAGACTTTCGGACCTTTTATTACTCATTAGACCCGGCTAAATCGCCGGTCAAAAGGTCTCAACCTCGTGAGGTACATCTTCCCCGATAGCAGTTAGAGCATGTGCTACCCTATTCCATTCACGACGACACAAGCTAGTGCACTTATTTAGTATCTTAAATACTAACTAGTAGCCATACAGGTGCGAGACACATGTTTATAGTTATGATAAGTGACATCTTAGTATGATTTTGAAATGACATAGTAGCAACTAACATCCTCTGATCTATTAAATTTATGTTTTTTAAGAAAACTCGGCACATGCTTATGATTGTGATATGTGACATCATAATATGATTTTGAAATGATATAGCAGTAACATCCCCTAATCTACTAAATTTGTTTTTCTTATAAACTCAACCATAAACTCACGGATTATCCTATATTTTCTCAAAATTAAAATTAAGATACATATAGTCGCATGTCATGTAATAGTATAAAATTCAACTCGTCAATAGCACTTCTCATATACGTGGGATAACCTCACGATCTTTCAAGCATTTGTATTACCTAAAAAAATAAGATAAAAATATATGATTTTGGCAATATATAAATGGAGCTAAAATGAGTTTAAATAAAATAATTAAACATACCGGTCTCACAACTCTAACACATCCATTTAAGAGCAACTCCATCAGGAGGTTTCTAAATAAACTCTCTATTTAGATTTTTTGGCAAAAGAGAAAGATCCTTCCAACAATTTGGTAAAAGAACTCCTTAGAAGTAAGAACTTGCCAAATCCCCTTCCAACTCATAAGTTTTTGAAGTCGATTGGAACTCAGATCCGCCTCCCCCAATGACGTATTTATTAGAAGATTGAAGTAAATTAGACCCATGAGTAAATTAAGAAAATAAAATGTTCTAGGTAAGAAAATGGTAATAGACAAAGAAACTATTAAAAAAGGGCTTGGTTGGTTAGAAGTAGTTTGAGGTTCCCAATAAAAAATCGTTTAGGAAGTTAGTATAGAAAACTATTGGAGGGGGAATTAAATTTAGGTTGCTACTTATTTTGTAAACTCACTAAATTGATTAGTTTAGCAAGTTAATTATAGGGAACACCTGAAGTTGCTCTAACCAGTGTATTCTTTATTATAAACTAAGATGTATGAGAAGGACATGCTCTTATTCCCGGGTTGCAGCCACAATAATTAACATATCAAGAGGCAGAGCAACTGAGAGAAATGTTGACGTAAATGTGTAGCACTGGAAAAGAGAAGGAAATAAACAGTAGTATGAGGCTATGAGCCCTCATGAAGCAGCTCTTTTCATGAAAGGTGAAAGCTATGGGTTATTCTTCCAGCACAAGGATCTACATTGTATTTTTTTGATCGCAACAAGGATCTACACTGTAGCAGGTGAAATGTATTGTGTGTACATAGCATGGATGCATTAAAAGCCGAATATCCAAATGTCTATACACATTATAGTCTTGCAACAGTAAATGAATTAGAGTCTCTCAAGTAGTACCAAAAACAGATTATCTGATATAGACTACAATGTAGCCGTCCACAGTGATGTTTTTGTGTATACATTTATGAAGAAAATATGGCCAAAGCAGTTCAAGACCATAGAAGATATGAAGGATTCTAAAAAAAACCTTAATGCAGATGTAATTTTCAAAACACCTCCTAGGGATGAGAAAAAAAACATATTATCCCCTATCCAAAAGCCAAATTAAGGCCTCGTTCGCTTTCCCGGATCGGCCCGAATGAGGTCCATTCCACGCGGATCGTGCCGGTGCTGAATGAATACCAGCCTAGCTTGAATAGGCGTTCGAAGTTAAGGCCGCCTGGATTCCAATCAGGCCCGTTTTGACCATTCAATCCCTCTCGCAATCCAGAACCAATCCCCACCTATGACCCTTTGGAACGGATCCCTCTGAAATCCCGGCCCAGGAATCAAAAGAGGGCCGGATTCAAACATGAGCCGCCGAACGAGGCCTAAAGGAGAAAAAGACCCAAAACCACATAGAAAGAGCTTGATTTCAGAATAATCATCACCACCGAAGCAAAGGTATTTCATTGAATGCTGGACATCAGTACCTTATTCAGAACTGTATTGCATAATCTGATCAGGCTTCAGACTTCACTTGTGATCAAAGTTCAGTTCATAATTGGATCAGAGTGTAACACCCTAAAATTTGCATTACTTTAAAATAGTAAATTTGATTTATTTATGCAATTATGTGTGCATTAAAATATAGGAAAATAATGATTTTGTGAAATTAAAATCAATCATAAGGATAGATACATGTTGATGCACTTCATGTCTTGTAGCATTTTATTTAATATGTTGAGTGGTTTTGATTTAAATTCAAAAGGATTCAAAAATCGCTTGGAAATGAAATTGGAAATTTGATTTGGAAAAGAAAAGGAAATTCATTTCTTTCCTCCTTCCTCATTCTGGCCTGATATTTAATTCCCTCCGCCGCCCACTTCGCCTTTCCTCCTTCCTCCTCTGTTTTCTCTTGGGCCGCCTAATGGTTGGTAACCAAGAAATGGCGTACACACTTACCATGGCTCAGCCGGCCCCGCCTGCGCCTCCTCCTTCCTCAATCGTGACCGCTCGGGCCCGCCTTTGCCGGCGCCATCCCCCTGGCTGCGCCCGCCGCCATTCAAGGCGCAATCAGCCTCCGCTACTAATACGTCTTGTGCCGGGTTGTGGGAGCGCCCCCGTCTGCAACCCTCTATAAACGCGGCGCCGAGACCTTTCCCGCCCCTCTCATCTCCCGCTCCCTCTCGCGTTCGCTTGCAGCACGAGGAAATCGGCCAGACTGCGCCATGGCCGGGACCACGAAGCTCGGAACCACCGCGTGGTCCGCCATCCCGAGCCGCCGTCGACTCTGTTTCTCCTTACCGTGAGAACCCTTTGTTCCCTCTACCTCCCCATGCCGTTATTTTCGATTTTCATGGCTTTATGACCGCTTTCGAGTGCGCCATGGAGCTCCTCTTGCCGCCATGGCCACACGCCGCCACCTATCGCCCTGCCAGCGTCCTCCGCCGCCCGTATCGACTGTCCGAGGTCCCTCCACCCCTCTTTTCCCAGTGCGTTTCGGTTCTTCAACCGTGGCCCGTGAGTCCCCGCACCGATCACGCCCGGCATGCTCCTCGTCACGGCTGCAATGGCAGCTTTGGCCAAGGGGCTGTCATGTTGCCTTTCGCCACGCCTTCTCTCTCTCCTTCCCAGATCTAATCCGAGCAGTCCGGTCTTGATCTAACGGCTCACTTAAGCCGATACACCTTCGGTGATTTTGCTAAAGAGTCCTCGAGTTCGCCAAATAGAACCCGCCATCCATAGCACGTTTCTGAGTACGCTTTCTCCTTTTGAAAACATAAAATATCTTGCTTTAGTCCAAAATACGTTTTCAGTATTTCTGAAATGCCATTGCACTTGCTTTTGTTTATAAAATCGCCATTATAGCTCCGATTTGACCCGCTCAAATTTCGTTAGGTTCGCAATTAAGTTCTCTACATGTTAACACCACTGTTAACCCTGTTTGCAACATTTAAATTTTGAGGTTAGATTTAGTTAAATAAATTGCTATAGGAAATCCCGCTTAAATCATAACTTTCGCTGCTTTTTTAGCTCCGCTCGTGAACTTCGCGTTGACGTGATCGTAGCTTAGACGTAGATCCTTTTCATAAACATTTTATCTTGATTTCTATACTATTGGTGTACTGTTCTAACCCATAGGATTGTTTGCTTTGCATGAATGTTCCTGGAATGTTGTATGTTGCCGTGTTGGTCGTGTTCGAGACGGTGAGGAGAACGTTGGTGACCATGAGTTCTTTGACGACCCAAGAGGGACCAGCAGGAGTTTGCTAACCAAGGCAAGTATAGCATGGGATCTACCTTGATGCCTACTCACCTTTATTAATTACTCATTTGCATGTGTCTAATTTTGATACCAGTAAGGACATCCTAGTGTTTGATTATCCTGTTCCTTGATCTCCTATGGGTTATATGCATATGGGTGGTTTGTTAGCTGCGCTCAATGTAACTATACCGATCTACATAATGAACAATGGTTCTATAGAACTAAAAGGTAAAATTGATTTTTTAAACAACTCAATTATAGGGCGATGGAGCAAATAACCTCGATCATGATGCTCTCGGCCCTCCATAAGGACTTATCTG